AGCAAATTCACTTAATTTTGTCACAAGAAAAAATACAGACAAGTGCATAATTGCAAGTTTTTTCTAGCATGCCCATACCATCTCCGACTACATTTAATCTCCCTTTATGGTAATCAGCTTTATACTACAGTTTCTAGGCTCCAACTTTGTTCTCACCGTAGTTGCACAAAGAAGTTTTTTTGTCATTGCCATCGAAAATTCAGTGTTGTTGAATGATGAGAGCAAAGGCTTTGACCATGCATTGCCAGTGCTACTCCTGTTACCAGTGTTACTAATATTACTAGTGCTAATAATATTACCGTTTTCATTGCTGTTGAGTAGTGAAATGATCTCCAATACGGTCTCATTCCTGAACCCGCTCTTACTTCACTAAATATTTAAAACAAAAGCAGTAACACAAGCGCATGAGTAACACGAGTAACCCTGGTAACACTGGTAACACTTGTTACATTGGTAACAAGGGTAACACTTCAATGGGTAACAGTAGTAAAACGAGTAACACTGGTAATGTACGGTCAAAGCCAAACTTGACGTCAAGTCAAAAGTCTACAAGATTCATCATCTTTGGGTCAACTCGATACTAACCTGGCTGCAAATTCCGCATGTAGAAGCATCAAATTTTTCGCACTGATTGGTTGATTAACAAGAACATCTGCCAACAATTTAGCGTTTGTAGCGTAGCTAAACATCAGATAATCCCGGATATCATTATCGGATTTGAAACCTACCTTTCGTCTGAGATGATCCTTTGGATGATTTCTTTCACTTTAGGGTGATTAGCTAAATCGTACTTGTCTAGCACCAGAGCTCCGCCATGTCTTGCCAACATGTTTGCATTACGAGTTTGATCAGCGAACAGTGGTACCTGTATGGAAATCGAGTATAATTTTCTATGTCAAGCGTAGTCCCTTACCATAATCGCCGGTTTACCCATATGAGCAATCTCTGTGGTACTTCCGAGGCCCCCATGAGAGATAAATGCAGTCACCCTAGGATCGGCTGAAAATACGTGCATATGCATAGATAAAAGTGGCTGCCTAAGCAAGTCTTTCTCGAAATGGGGCATTTTTCCAGATGAGCCAGGTGGTACTAGCCTCATTCTTTGACCATTTTTGGTAACTTTTCAGATTTTCGGACGAGTTCTACAGAAAAGAAGACAGCTTCTGTCTCTAAATTTTTACGAATCTAACTAGAAAAGAAATTATGTATCATTTAGATGTACACAACAACATAACACCCACAAAAATTTCGGTACCCGTTGTTGAAAGAGAAACTCGCATGTCGTAGAGTTCCACTCACGAGCCTGCGAACACGATTGCCTTGTTTACTGTTGTAGTAGTTTGTTCGTATACTTCCTTTTCCCTCCTTTTGCATTTTTTAGATGCCACTTGTGAAATATTGTATGCTGTCTTCGTTCCCGTACCCTTTGTTTGTAGATGACTCCACCATAGGTCGACGGCGATGCCAACTAGGGGAGGATTCTAGCGGTCACTGAGGAACTTGCGACCATCGAGCAACCTCGCTTACGCTCTCCGATCTCATTTTCAAATCGTGTTATTGTTGTTCTGGTATCTCTGGCTAATTTCATTTGTGTTTGCAGTGATGACGAATGAACACGTCTTTGAGAGACTGTGTTAGGTGCACCTGAGGCGTAGTTCGGATAAATATGGTATCTGCCATTAGAGGCACC